GGGAGCTCTATAAATATTAATTCCTTCCCTGCCATCCTCCCCATTCTATTTCATAACCTGGTAAATAATTTGTGTATTGTAGAGCAGTACTGTCCAATGGAAGTATTCTAGTAGTTTTGTTTTAAATGGTAAAAAGAAGCAGGTAGAATTAATTCAATAATAATTTTATTTAAATTAATATAGAATATTATCATTGCAAGGAGCCCTAGTAGGGCAGTGGTTGAGCACTCAGCTACTAATCCAAAGGGTGGCAAGTTGGAACCCACTAGCCCCTCTGCAGAGGAAAGGTGTAGCAGTCTAGGGCAGTCTGCTTCAGTAAAGATTTACAGCCTTGGAAACCCTATGGGGAAATTCTACTCTGTCCTATAGGGTTGCTCTGGGTTATAATTGGCTTCATGGCAATGGGTTTTGTTTTGTTTTTATTACATTTAAATGTGCAATCAATATTAATAAAATTTATTCTTCTTTTCACACCATGTCTTTCAATCTTGGTATTTTACCCTTAAGAGCACACATCAATTCAGCCTAGCCACATTACAAGTGTTTGATAGTTGTATGTGGATACCATATTGGACAGCACAGGTAAAGATCTTTAATATATTTTCCCACAAAATTACTTTCCCAATTGTGTCTAGTTTTTCTCATCATTAAAAGCTCTCTGAAGGAACGCAGACAGTTAAATAGCTCATTATTTTATATCTGAAACTAAGTAGGGATATGGTTCATGTACTCATTCACTGTTCCCTAAAAAGCTTCGTGCTTTCACAACTCCATTCTTTTGAACATTCTGGTCTCTTTTCTTGAGGAAGTCATTCTTCCTCATTTTTCCATCTGACAAAATCATAGTCATACTTCAAGACTCAACTCAAATGTGATCTTGTCCTAGCTTTCACAATCCACAGCACTTCTGCGGTGTAGTAAATTACTTAGTGTGGCTTTTCTACCCATAAGTCTTTGTAAACTCCAAGGTGGGAATTGCTATTAGCAACTGAGGAGATCCTGGTTTTAAAGTCGCCCACCTGGGTTATTTCTGTTGGGCGTGGCACAATACGATGTTCTGGGAGGTTCCCACTCTCTCTCACGTGCTTAGAGTTCTGATGCTGTGATTGGGTAGTTTGACCACCCTTCCGGGCTCAAAAGGAGGCCTTCTGGAGGCAGAACTTTCTCTCTGACTGCTGGTGGAGGAAGAAGTGCTGCCGAAAGAGACATGTGCCCCTGAAAGAGACACGTGCTGCTGGGAAAGGGACATGCATTGCTGAGTGAGACACCGAGGGACCAGCACTGCTGGGAAAGAGACTGTGAGAGACTGTTGGCTGAGGGACATTGGGCTGGGAGAGAGACTGAGCGTTCTTCCTGAACTTGAGTTGTAGCCTGGTGCTTCCCTAATAAACCCCATAATCTGTGAGTTCTGTGTGGCCACTGCAGTGAATTATCGAACCCAGGAGAGAGGTGGTGGGTGCTTTGGGAGGAACGGTTGGTGAAAGGGCTGGAGGGAGGCAGCATGTCTGGCCTTGCAGTAATAGGCCTTGGGTTACTGCTGGTAATCCTGTCTTCCTCTCGTGGGATTAGAGGAGGTCAGAACATGTGGCCTCCTTGCCATTTTTGTAACTTCCTTCATATTTTTATGAAAGTGGTTCCTGAATTTCATTATAATTATTTGCTTCCATATTTGATTTCTACTCTAGTCATTGTACACTCTGTGGTACAACACAATCCACAGGTATATAAGAAGGAATGTTAAAATTAATTATATATTAATTAACCACAGCACTGATGGTGTTGTGGTTAAGGCATTGGGCTGATAACCAAAAGGTCAGTGCTTCAAACCCACCAGCTGCTCCGCAGAAAGAAAAATCTTCTGCAAAGATTTATAACCTTGGAAACCCAATGGGGTTGCTATGAGTCAACTTGGTGGCAGTAGATGGGGATTTGGACTCGGCTGTGGATGTGGATTTGGATTTGAATATATCTATATAACAATGAGTTCAAATATAGCAATGATTGTGAGGATGGTGCAGGATGAGGCAATGTTTCATTCTGCTGTACATAGGGGCTCTGTGTGTCAGAGCTGACTTGACAGCATGTAACAACAAAAATAGAACATTCAGAGAAACTATTTCACACACACTTAATATATAGATTGACATTGGCTTCCTCACTTGGTTCATCTGTCAGACAGCCACATACATCATGTGACCTGAGGGGTAATAAATAATGTCCTTGCTCTTTTGTTTACTGTTAGTTTGTTAAAGTTTGTGGATACCCAGGTAAGTAGATTACATACTACTTGTTTTCATCAACGCAAACCTTCCCAAAACAGAAAAATGGTTTTAAAAAATTTCTGCAAAGAAACTGAAAATATAAAATAATCTAATAATGCAAGCCTTGATGAACAAGGAAACAGTAGATCTGACATATCTAGTATACATTGTGGGGAAAAAAATTAGTTTAGTCCAGTCAGTAAAACATGTGGACAAAAAAGTTGAAATTATATAGAAGTCTCTAAAATATGGATTTACATCTACCATTTTTAGTAATCAACCTCATCCTCAGTTTATATCATGGCTTGAGAAATTATTACCTGTTTATAGTCTAAGGAGCTCTGGAGGTATAATGGTTAAAGCTTTTGACTGCTAATCAAAAGGTCAGTGGTTTGGACCCACCAGCCATTCCATGGGAGAAAGATGAGGCAGTCTGCTTTGGTAACGACTGACAGCATTGGAAACCCTACCAGGTAGTTCTACTCTGTCCTGTAGGATCACTATGAATTGGAATTGACTTGATAGCAGTAGGTTATTTATAGTATAATGCTATCACAATTAAAAGATTACTAAAACATTATTTAATCTTTATGTTATTTTAAATTTTTTGTGTCTCATAAATATGTATTGCTTTGGCAATACATTATTTATAAGTTTATAAATAAATATATGTGGGGCCATGCTCAAGAATTTTTAACTGAATAGGAGTATGAGACTTAAAGAAGGTCACTATGGTGCCAAAGTACCTAAGGTATTTGACTGCTAATCAGAAGGCTGACGGTTCAAACCCACTAGCCACTCCTCGAAGGAAGACTGGGCAATCTACTTCTGTAGCGATACCACCTCAGAAACCCAAGGAGGGGTCGCTGTGAATCAGAAATGACTTGATGATAGTGAGTTTGGTTTGGTTATACTGGATTATGATTTAGCAATAGTGCCTAAGGCACTTGACTGCTAACCAGAAGGCTGGTGCTTCAAACCCACCAGCCACTCCTTGGAAGGAAGGTTGGGCAATCCTACTTGCCTAGTGATACTGCCTCGGAAACCCAAGGAGGGGTCGCTGTGAGTTGGGGCCGACTCGACGGCAAATAACAACAACAACAAGGAGTGGCATGGAGAAGATTCCTATTACCTGAATAAGTGAATACCTGTATGATTTCATGGATAAATTAGACCTTGTCTCAACCCTTGCCTAAAAGCACAAAGCTTTGGAAAACTTGAAAGAGAAAGCTCACAAGATGCTATTGAAACATTTTCACTAATGCATTCTGAAGTATAACACAGAGTTTAAACCAATTAGGTGGGATTCTGATCTGTTTTACTAGCTATAT